GATAAAATTCTAAGACATCTGAGCTAAAACCACACAAATATTCCAGAGTAGTGTCCCAACCAACCAAACTTGCCAAAACTCAAAGTAATTTCTGAGTGTACTTCAATGCCACCACTGGAAGGGGCAATCACAAACTGTTTTACTTCTTTAATTTTATTTTCAGTTTTTGTATTCATTAAAAAAAAACTTCAGTTTCCCCTCGTATATAACAAGGAGATACCAAAAGTATAATAACAGACAGCAAAGCACTAACCTGGCTGGGCACCAAGCTCAATTACATGAAATTTTGATGTAATCTGGCCAGCATTAAAAGTCTTGGTGGCAAATGAAATAAGAATAGAAGGATTCTCATTTCCTGGAACCTGCTCAACACGAACAAGCACATATGATAGGCTGCTTGCTAGATCAAAGTTTATGATATCTAGTAAAATAGAGTAAACTACAAGAAATCCCTTACCTTAAATTGTGCAAATGAAGCAGCATGTGCTTCAAGAGCTTGACTACGCTGCTGATCAACAGAGAAAAGTTGCATGTTCCCCTTAACCAATTGTGGCCTCTAAAAGAGACAAGACACATAGAACAAAATCAGAACTGTGTAGTGACAGCAAAAATGATTTTCTAAAAAGAGAATTTCATAAATAATAATGATTATGCAAGAAACTATTCTAACAGTAAGAGCCAGAAAGGGGAAAAAGAAAAGGCAAAGAAAACTAAAAAAGGGAGTCAGAGTGATGCAAATCCAAAATGACACCACAAGAGACAAAATAAATCACCTATAAGGAGTTGATAAATTAATTCACAGAGTTCACTTCAGCAGTTTGAAACATTGGCCACACAACAACCATACCAGCTTAAAGATCTTCTAATGCCCAGTTAGATTAGGGAAATATTTTGAATGTATTATTACTTCAATAGATCCTTTTTTGGCATACAACAAAATTTACTTTACATGTAGCATTTTTCAAATTCCCAAAACTTAATACAAATGAAGCAACAGCCACTTCTTCACAGCAAAAAATAATCACATTTAAAGAGCAACCTCATACCTCGGGTGCACCAGGGGCAATTCCAATCAAAACCAACCACTTCTCAGAAGGGTCACATTTATAGTTTATTATCTGATTGTTCACCAAATTAGCTGTTCTCTCAAACATCTTAACTGGTTCAGAATCACCTGCCAGGAGTATAATGCAAGGAGACACATGACACCAAAGAAATTTATACAACAGATAAAAACAATTCAAAAAAGATATCTTTTAGAGCTGAACAAAGTACAGCGGCCTGTGATACCAGATAAGATAACCGAATAATATCTAACCTTCAATTGACCAATGATACACAGAAGTCTGAGTCACAAGGCCAAGCATTTTTGGGCTAATCCATTTCCAAAATACAACCTGTCAAGGAAAATCAATAAATGTTGAGAGGTAGATAGCTAATGATAGAATCTAATGGAACTATTACAAGAAGTAAAAAAATTTAAAAGAAAACAACTGAGACAACAAATAGATTTCACCTGTTCAGGCATCTGATGTGATTTCATTTTCGCCTTCATCTCTATGTTAAATATTTGCAAGTGATCTTGAGTTGTTCCAGGTAGTTGAGCTACAAAAGCGATGTCAAGTCCATGAGCATAAAGCATGGATAGATAACAAATTTAAAGGTGACATTAATACTAAAGATATTAAATCTCCTTCTCCATTAACTACTTTCATTACAGGAATGCCAAGCACTTCATGACTTGTATTTCAAGCATATTTTTTCTCGTCTCATTGGACACAAATTGAACCAAGTTCTGCTATTGCAAGAAACTAAAAAGGCAGTGCTGACAAATTGTTCCTGGCAAGCTAAACAACCAGACGTCCAAATACAGCACCCAATCAATATATCAATAAAACAATAGAGCAGAAAAGTGTTAACCACTACAAACACTGTAGTTCACACACACTGTGATGCTGTAAGCAGGGTCCTTGCAGTTAACAGGTATCACATGCATGTTCATTTTAGAAAGCTATAAGCAAGTAGCAAACCAACAACCAAAAGGAACCTAAGTACCAATTACCAATTCGAGCAAGATTCTTCTGCACAAGTATTCCATTAATAAAACAGTCTCACTAACAATACAAAAAAAAGAGTTCCAAACTACGGATCGAATATGAGCTCTACTGAGTATCAGATATACAAAATAGACATGCTGAATATAAAATCCTCTAATCAATAACAATCAATTACAACACACAATTAACGTGATCTGATAAAAGTAACTAACTGCTGTTAGTTATGATAACTGACCTTTCAAAGCAAGGATTCTAGAAGTCGGATTCATGAGAGCAGAATCCGCTGTAATAGGCCGTCTCAATGGCTGCATCGGCATGTTCATGTCGATGATCACAACACTATTTTGCGGCGCCGTTTCTCTCACACAAATATACTTATCAGATTCCATAGTTACGTTCGTGAATGTGATAAATTGAGGATTAATGCCAATGCTCGGCAACTGCAAACAAACGACACCGTTCAGATCACTCAAAATTCTCACTATTTTAAAACGTAAAAAGGAAATTTCAAACAGATCTAAGCAGACTTTACATATATTAGATCTGACAAGGCTTACGAAGTATTAGATTAAACTTGATAACCGATTATTAGATATAGTTCAGGTGAATTTTCTATAATAATCGATTGAATCTGAACGACGAGTTAGATACAGGACTTACAGTTAAGACTTCCTTCATAGCGATGGGAGCATTCGCGGCCGCCATGGTGACTCAGATCGATAGATGAAGATTCAGGAATAAGGAGCAGATCTAACGGCTGGGATTGAATCTTTCAATTGCGAGTCAAAACGGAACACTGACAAAGAGACGAGAAAAAACCTCCGCTAAGAGATCTGAAGCAGAGAATTAAAACAGTAGAAAGAGAGAAGTGAAAGAGAAAAGCAGAGGAGAGATCCAATCTGAGACACTGGAGAAATTATAAAAATAGAAAGGAAAAAATAAAACAAAGAAAATCACAAGAACGAGGAAAAGACGTGTGAAAATGTGGAAATATGCTGCCTGTTGGTATTTATCTAGACTCCGATTCAGGTCATAATGAACCGACCCGAGTTTTATTTTTAATTTTGATTTTTGAAAAATGATATTTCCCGGAGGAAAGAGGAAATTAAAGGCTCAAAATGGGTTAAACTTAACAACGAAAAAAAAAAGGTTTAAATGATGAAAGAGCAAAGGATTAAATTCGCTTTGATTTTCCATTTTAGAAATAAATTAGTGATGAATTTATGTGAAGTAATTTGGAGCATTCTCTCATTTATAACTGAATTCTTCATTCAATCGGATATTCGTAGATTCTTTAAGATAAAATCTTTATTTTATTTTTAAAAAACATGTTAAAAAGCGTTTTAAATGTAGTTTTTAAATTTAATTTTGTTTCTTACTTAATTATTTCAAATTTGCATCTTAATTAGATCTATTTTTTAATATAATAAGATATTTTCAGATTTTATCTAAATTTAATCAATTTTTCAATGATTTCAAAATTATACTCCTTGACATTAATCTATTTTATTTAAATTTAAGATTTTATTCCCAAATTATCAGCACAAACCTTAGTTGATAAGAAAATAATTTTGTATCAACCAAGTTAATTTTGAAGTAAAAAATAAATAAATAAAATTTTCCATTTACCCTTAATCCTCAATCTTTATTTACTTAATTCACTTAATATTACAAGCCAAAATTATTTTTTAAAGAGTTTGACTAACATACATGCAGTTAATTTTTTTTTAATATGAAAAAAATTGAAGACTATAATAGTTTATACTTTTGTACAAAAACCTTAGAAATGACAGATTTTTTTTTTGGGGGGGATTCTATTTAATTCCCTGTTGGGGTTGACTTGGGTATGTGGGATAATCAGTAAGCCAGCCCCAAACCTCTTTAATAATTCAAAAAATGAAGAAAAAGAAAAGGCAGTTGAAATTATACTTTCTCCTTCAAAATGAGTGATCTTTGGACAAAAATTAGTAGAATCAAAATGTTCTCCAACTTGGTTTCCCAATTTATACAGAATTTTCTGCTCAAGCTGACATGGAACTCACTGTAATTCCTAGAAAAGCTATAAGTACTTGATTGTCAAGGACATAGGCATTTGAAATTTTCTGAATATGCAACTTTATATATTTACATCTATAATCTTTTGTCATTACTAAGGAAAAGGAATCTCCAACATTTATGGTCAACATCCTTAGATATTTAAAGGCCCAAGAAAATGCTGGTTTGAGAAAAAACATGCCCAAATGGGACTCTTGTTTGGGCTGTAATTGGGTTGAGCATAGGTCAAGTAATGTTCAATCCTTTTTGGTTGTTGCTGACGTCTTCCCTCGAACCAGCCAGCGGTTGGTTTCGTAGAATTGTTTCGAAATGCCCGGTTGCTGTTGCAAAGTCAAGATTGTCAAGTGGGACTCACGATTTGAAAGGTGTGTTTTAGGACCGAATCCCTTTCAATGCGACGAGAATAATTAGAAGTGTTAATAAATAAAGTTTTAGATAAATTTTTTATGAATATATTTAAATTTTATTCTTAAATTTATTTGATTATAATTTATTTATTATTATGTATATATTAATTTATATATTTTTATAAATATATTTATTTAATATTCACAACGAATTGAATACGAACATTATACTATTAAATAAATCAAACTCAAATAAACAGATCAATTTTCTTACTAAATATGAACTAAGCTTAAATACTTTTAAAAATAAATAAACAAATTATAGTCACGTTCGTCCATGTCCCATTCGTTTATAGACCTAAGAACAATGCAATTGCACTTCCAAATGGAGCCGCAGGAAAGACAATCAACCAGAAGCATTTCTGACTGAGAGAATACATGAATAATACTATAACAGCATCCATGCTTACAAGAAGAAAACACTCCAAATGCATTTTAAAAGCGGCTGAATTGCATTTTTAACAGGGGAGAGACAACATGGATTAATTTAATTGCATAATTAATAAAATAAAGAGCAATAAGAAACCATTCATCCAATATTGGAAAAGTGCCAAGCCAGCTGCCAAACATGACCCATCTGGTCTAATCAACAATTAAGAAGCCATGTCTTGACTTTGGAGCAAGAGAAGGCAAAGTTGGTAACCCCAGAAAAAGAACAAGAGCTAGTCAAAATAGCAACCTGTAGGGTTGACCACGGGCAGCTGGTACAAGGGCTCCACTTGTCTCGTTCAAGAACTATTATCAACATCAGGGGGTAACAATGATTAAATATTTGAGGATCCCTGATCAGTCAATACCACCCTCTTCTTTCTTCTGATAAGGCAATCCAAAAACCTTGCCTTGGGATACCATGGGGGTGGGAATCCATTGGACCTCAAATAGCAGCAACCTGAGATCATGAGAGAACAAGTCGGCATAGGGGAATGATGACAGTCTGATGATCTGCAAGAATTTTTGGCATACTAACTACAATGCCATCTTTAGAACAAAGTAACTTTCATGTTAAAACTATTATCCGCACCAACATTGCAGCCACTGCTTCCTGCAATTACCATAACAAACTGCAGTTTTCTACAGGATAATGGATGCAGCAATTTCAACAGTGGCCCTGTCGATTCAAAATGGAAGGAGGAACAAGAGTTTTCTTTGATTGCATCTAAACAAGTCTTCCCCTAGACAAGTCCGGAAACAAAACGTTGTAGCTGAATTATCATCACACTAATATCATCAAATGAGCCTCTCCATGATGACAATTCAGCAAGTTTTTTGCAAGCAGAAAATGGCTTAGGCTTATCAACACCTATGCAGAAAGGGCGAATTAAATCTACGGCCTCTTGATTAGTAACCTGAAAAGCAAGACAAAAAGTTCAATTTGACAGCATAATAACTCAAAAGGGATCATCAAAGGAGTTTCAAAAGAAATTAAATGAACAACTTCGGTCTAAAGTCTGAAATATACCTTATTCCAAAGACCATCTGAGGCCAGGATCAAAAACTCACACTCAGGCTTAATTTTCAACATTTTCGTCTCTGGTTCCGCAATTATCCATTGTTTAAGATGTTTATCTCCAATTGCTCTCGACACAGCAAGAGAACCTTGAATTCTCCAAACCCCATGGCAACAATCCACATAACCACCCTACAAATTAAACATCAAAAAACACCCTTCAATATCACATTCTCGAATTTCATTGCATTGAATTAGAACTAAAAGATGACCGGGAGAATAGTTGATTACCAAAGCTTCAATTCTGTCTCTCTCATCTTGCCTTGAAGGCTGGTGATCAGAAGTCAATGCTTCTGCCACACCACTTCGGCTCAAAACAGCACGACAATCACCTACGTTGGAGACAACAAGATCACCTTTATGTATCATTGCAGTAACACAACAAGTACCTCCACCCAAATTTTCCTTCAGAAAATCCATGTCCGTGGTTGAGTAAGCCTCTTTGATTGCTTCTTCAATTGAATCTCCACATCTTTTTGATACCTCCGACATTGCCTTCTTATCCAAATTCTTTGCTGCGAATTCAGCAGCCTCTGGACCCCCATGGCCATCAAAAACACCAAAGAACGCCTGCAAAAATCCTCAATTTTTTTTAGCTTTGACTGAAGTTTTGCCTATAAAAGCGTTTCTATGCAATAAAGGAATAAGAAAAATAGAGAAAAAATTATTAAAAGAAGAAAATTAGAGGGAAACAAATCAAACAATACCTGTTTAGAATCTCCGTTAAGATCAATAACAGCAGAGTAACGGTCTTCCATTTTCCCTCTTCTTCCTCTCTTACAATAAACAGAATATCCATCCCTTTCCACCTGAACCTCCTCCTCTCCTCTCGGCGTCTCTGCCGCGAATCCCAAATCAACCGCCACCGGTGTCGGTATCTCTATCCTCGCCGGCCTTTTCCTCTTCACCACCGAAGGCGCTACATCGGCTCCCAAAGAAAGCTGTTGCCTTGGGACGCAAAGGGACAACGGAGGCTTCAATGATGACGGAGACTGCGGCGTCGTAACGGAGGTGGACGAAAGTGGAAGAGGTGATCTGGGAGAGGATAAAGGAAGAGACAACGGAGACGGAGGCGGTTGAGAGGCGTTGACGCGAGGAGATGAAGGGAAAATGGGAGAGGTTGGAACCATTTTAGACCAGACCATGTTTTTTTCTTCTTCCTTTCGGGTACGAAAGGAGGGATGAAATCGTTGAAACGAGGCCAAGCTATCAGAATGAAATTGAAAGAAAGCTTTGTACTTGTTTATATAGCTTGAAAAGGGATGAGACGGTGCCGTTTTTTGGTCGGCTCACGATTTGAGTTCGTATTGCGGAAGATAATTCAAGCGCCCTTTTCTCTAGGGCGCTTGTCGTTCATATTCCACTTTGTTAGTTTCGGATAATAATAAATACTCCTATAATTTTAGATTTGGACCAAATAATTTTGTATTTGTTTATTAAATTATTATTTTTTATATGTAAAATTGTTTAAATTTTTTTATATTTAATTATTGAAATTAAAAAATTTAACAATGTATCAGTAGATCATATAATTATTGGTTAATATATTATTATCTTAATATATTTGAGATACTATAAAAAATTTATCAATTATTATTTTAACTATAAAAGGTTTTTTTCAGCACTTATTTTGTTTTATTATTAATGCTGTTAGATGTCTAGTGTTAAGCATATAGTTTCATCCCTAAACACCAATTAAAATTAATTTACCACTTGAATTCCTTTTATATTAAAAAATTAATAATAAAGAACAAAACAATTTTATCTCAAAATTTTCTTTAGATTTCTATGATGTTGCACTTCACGCGCTAGACCAAGAGTGGAGTTCATGATATTTAAAATATTTTGGTCTTTTTGCGATTGGCTTTGGATTTGCCGCTTTGGATTTGTCAAGTTAACAAAAAATTAAATCAAACCAAATCTACTTGCTATATCTCTCTCTCTCTCTCTCTCTCTCTCTCTCTCTCTCTCTCTCTATTATATATATATATATATTTTTTTTTTTTTCATTTTATAGATTTCCACGTGTCTGGTTCTAATCGGTACACGTCAGTAGTCAAAATTTTAGCTGTATAATGCAGAAAATTGAATAAATTTCTCCACTTTGAATGCTAGTTTGAACTTTAGACTTTGGATTTTGGATTTTGGATTTTGTCGCACCGAAATTCATGCTTTGTCTCAGTGACGGTTGGCATTGGTAACCTGTTTTGGCCCGACCTTTTCAAACCTCTTTCAAAATGTGTATACATTTTTATATTTAATATATTTAAATTAGTCTTTTAATTAAAAAATATTAATTTTATTTTTTTTTGTGTTTTATAGATTATTTTTTTGCATTGTAATTTAAGAGATATTTAAATTACATTTAAATTTGTTTATTTATTATATTCAATAATTATTATTTTTAAAATTTTCAAATCAATAGATTTATCACAATTTTTAAATTACAACAAATGAATTTAATAAAAATCAAATTAATATTTTAATTTTCTCAATAAGATTCAAGTTTTTCAATAAAAGCACCAAATGTATTTTTTTCCTTTTTTATTTTTTAGTATAAGGAGATAGAAATTTAAAAAATTTAAGAAAAGGGAAAGGAAGATTTAGAACTCCATTTCTCTATATATTTTTTAATTTATTTTTACTTTAAATTTCTATTATATATTGTTGTAATTATTTTTTCAATAAATAGATCATATTGGAATAACTTTATAAAAGGAAAAAAAAAACAAACTTCTAGTCTCAAAATTTCAATTTCATTCTTTTAAAAGTATATTTAATTTTTTTATAAAATTTTTAATAATTGATTTATTCAAAATTTTTATTTCACATTTAAATTACAAAAAAATAAAAAATTCAGTGTAATTAATAGTTCAACAATTAATTATAAATTATGTTATTATTAAAAATATAATATTATCATAGTAATATTTTTATTTTATAATTTTATGCATTTGTCATGTTTTTATTAGTATATTGTTTACATATATTTATTAATAAATATCATAAAACAGGCCTTAAAAATTTTAAAATAAAATATATTATATATTATTAATTAATCCTTCAAAATTATGTGTAAAAATCCATCTTTATAGATTGTTGAAATCAATTATATGACGAGATTATTTGGATAACGTCTCATGGTGCAATTGGCTCCAATGTAAATTGCAACGAAATTCAGATTTTTTAACTAAGAAACAGTCATTGGCTTTGATGAAACTGTCAATTGTCATTCTTAATTTTATAATTATTATTATATTTACATTTAAATATACATCATTATTGATTTTAATTACACAATTACAAAAATTAATCTTAAATAATTTAATTTTTATTGTTATTTTTAATCTATTTAAATTAATCTTAAATTACTAGCAAAGTTTTGATTTAGTGATGAAAAACAAATCTTAGGTTTAAGTTCTATTTTATGTGAATTTGATTATTTAATTATGTTATATTAGTTAATTAATTATTTATTGATTTTAATTTGATTACAATATAATAATTGATTATTCAATTCTAATACTTTATTATAATTAATATTATTATATATTTTATGAAATTCTCTCCTTCAACCATGAGCCGGTTTTTTCTTAATCCATGTTCTTAATATTGATATGGTCCTATCTTTCTTCGATGACAAGTAAATAACAGCATATTGAACTGTTCCTTTGCTGACTTTTATGTTCTGGAAAGTTATAACTCTCCAGATCAATTCTGCACTTGTTCTCAATGCCGGACACTTGGAAATACCAACTCAAGATGAAAAGCGTACGCTATTCGCCGTCCTTTGACATCTAGATGCAACTTATACAAGAAAAACTTGTTTCCAAATTTGGTCTAACAAAGCAGGCAGTTGATGGAACTTTGTTTCTTATTATATGAATGGAATGTGAGCAATAACTTTCACCGTTTAAATGTAATTAAATAATAAAGGAATGCTTTTGTGAATTTAGCACTTTAATTCGTCCTTGTTCCAACTAAATGGTACACTCTTTTTACCAATGACTTTGAATAATATTAGTCTATATGTATTAAATATATAATTTTAATTAATTTTAATCATAATATTGATTTTTTTAATATTTTAATAACAAATACAAATTCAAGTTTGTAAGATGAAAATGACACTTGATTTTGTTTATGAACACTTTTATTACACTTAGATTTATCCAACTATCAAGCTATCCAATTGATTCGGTGCGTCCAGTTCGATTCAAATTGGAGCTTTGACAACGTGTCATGACCAGAGGAGTTTCCCATAGTCATGCATGACCAAAATATACAAGTATCATCCTATTTCCCGACGGTGACCTACGTGTCTCACGACCTGTTTCCTGAACTCGCCATACAACCCACTACGTGGCAATGGCATTGGAAACTATAACCTGTCAACCGGTCGTTCGAATACAGATTAACCCCGGCGGCCTTGTTTATATATTTTCCGTCCGTGGCTCTAGCATCTGCATCGCACCAATATCATATATGCTTATTAAGAAAGTGAAGTTCCCGCTGTTGTCTCGTGCTGGTTAGGAAGCCCACAGTTCAACTCCTCGGTGATCGGCAATAGTTTAGAAGGAGAAACCATGACTTCCCGTCAGGAAAGAGAGGAGCTCGATCGCAGGGCAAGGTAAGGAGAGACCGTTGTCCCTGGTGGAACCGGTGGCAAAAGCCTTGAAGCTCAAGAACACCTGGCTGAAGGTAATTATATCATTAATAATGTAATAAAAATATTAATGTTTTTTAAGCTTTTTGAATGTTACCCTACACAGGTAGGAGCCGAGGAGGGCAGAGGAGGAAGGAGCAGATAGGAACGGAAGGGTACCAAGAAATGGGTCGTAAAGGTGGACTGAGTACCCAACGATAGGTCTGGTGGGGAACGTGCGGCGGAAAAGGGGATCCCCATTGATGAGAACAAGTTTAAAACAAGGCAGACTTAAGAGCAAATATCAAATCTTGGTGGAGCAGCTGACCTTTATAAGGGATTAAAATAAACTAAGGATCGAGGTTTACCAATTATGGTGTAATAGTATACTAGTAACTAGGGTTTCTTAGTTATTTTCTTCCAAGTTGGTTTAGGGTTGAAGGAGATTCATGATCGGTTGAAACTCCTTTCTCTTTTGTCTTTCAGTTTGTGTTTGATATATCGAATGTGCTAACAGAAGTACTTTTAATAAATAAAAAAATTATTATAGATTGTGACTTTCTTTTCTTTTGTTTGTTTGTTTGCTTTTTATTTTAATTTGGCAATTAGAATGATAAATCCATGCAAATGATGAGCAAATCAAACGATCGTGAAGTCTACCCATTAATTCTAACAAAGGGCTGAATTGGCACTTTGTTACAAGAAACTCCATTTTTTGTATTTTTTGTATTTACCAATTGCCATTACAGAGGTCAAGTGATGGGTATATATGTACCAACAAAAAAAGGTACATATGTATATTTATTTGACAAAGGAAATGTGAATATATTTTGTTGCACTAATAAACAAATTGTTACTATATTATTATCGATGTCTCTTATCCATTTTAAGACTATCAAAGGTTGGAAGGACATTAATCAGTTCTAATTTTATTTGTCTATTTTTAACACTTATTTTTTATATTTTAAAACTATTTTTATGCTCTTTACTTTTTAATAATAAAAATATTAAATTTATAAAAAATGAAAATTTTAATTTTAATCAAAGTTCATATTTCTCAAAGTATCGTGAAAATAAAAAAGAAGATTAATAATTTGTTGACAAAAGGTGATAGTAAAAGAAAACTGTTCACGTATTGAAGTATTAGATTAATGCTAATAAAATGCATGTTTTCTTACGGGACAAACCAATGGTTACCTTGATATCTTGGGTAAGATTTGTTTCGATTTTTTATTTACAAAGTGAAAATATGAAATTATTCAATTAAATATAATTATATTTATTTATTAAATTTATTTTTTTAAATAAATTTTAAAAACATTGTAAATAAATTAAATAATAAAAAATATTTAAATTTTAAAAACAAATAATTGAATTGATCGACTTAATTACCTAAGTTATATGATTTGATTTCATTCAAAGTTTAAAAAAAAATCAAAATATTACACATTAATCGAATTTTTTTTTATCAAGTTGAACCGTTATCTCACCTTATCTTTAGGTTACGGTTTACTTCTACATAAATTCCACTAGCTTTTCCTTTTTAAAAAAATCCTATTGCAGATTGTCTTCTTTCATGTAGAAGCTACTACAATTGGAGTACTAACTAATCAACAAATACAACACATGCAAAAGATTCGATCGTGTCATTCCATTTGTCTTGTGCCACCAACGTGGCATACAATCCACTTGCTATTCTGCCACGTAGTCTAGCACGCGTCTCTTAAGGTGACAACCCGTCACTCTATACTTCCACTATAAATTTCCTACCCCATGCCACAACTAAACCACCGTTTTCAAACCCTACGCAAGTCGCAAAAAAGCACTTCTTTGTCCTAAAAAAACAGAGGAAATGGCATCAGGGCAAGACCAGCCACAGCTTGAAGCCATAAAAAACGCTCCACAGGAGGAAAAAGCTGACCTTGATGCTAGGGCAAGGCAAGGAGAGACTGTGGTTCCTGGTGGAACTCGTGGGAAAAGCCTGGAAGCTCAGAGACACTTAGCTGAAGGTAATTTACATAATCATAACAGTAAACAAGTCAGTTTTGTTTTTGAAGTAGTTGCAGCGTTTTGATTCCATTTTTCGTTGTATCTTTCCTTTTTTGGTGTATGTTAAGGGAGGCACAAGGGAGGGGAGGCAAGGAAGCAGCAGATGGGGAAAGAAGGGTACCAGGAAATGGGGCATAAAGGTGGTCTCAGCACTACTGACAAGTCCGGTGGAGAGCGTGCCTCAGAAGAAGGGATTCCCATTGATGAGTCCACGTTCAGGACCAGAAGCTAAAGAAATCTCCTGTGAAATGTTGTTTTAATTATGTTTTAGGGTTTAGTAAGAAGTAAAAACCAGTTGATATGTATAAGCTGGATGCATGTGTAATTAACTTTTGATTTTCTAGCACTGAGCTATCTTTGTAGTTTGTTGCTCTACTGTGTACTTTTGTATCTTTAATAATGAATGCTACCTATCTTTTGCTTTGTTAATGCATTTATATATTTTTATCTCATTAAGTACAATATTGAAAGTGGCATGAGAGTTGCATAGATTTTATGTTTACAAATTTATGAACAGTTGAAATATTATATTTTGAAAAAAATTAAATATAAAATAAATAATATCATTGAAAAAATAAAAAAAAATTATAATTTTTTTTATCTGTAATAATATTTTATAAGCTATATGTATTTAAAACAAATTATGAATGTCAACTTTTTTTATTTGTAATAATATTTAATAATATTTATTTGCAATAATATTCAATAATATTTATAAATTGTAGGTATTTAAAGTAAAATTATGAATTTTAACTTTTTTTTAGATTGTAAACAAAAATTAATCAGGAATTAAGACCTATAACAGACAATATGGCCTTTTTTTTTTTCCCAACACATGCTATTACACCAACAAGTGCTAACAAATTTTATACACCAAGAAGGGCTAACAAATTTTATATAGTGTTTAGTCTTAAAAAATAGAGTTATTGTTTTTTTTAGAATTAAGGAATGTGATAATTAAAAATAAAAATAAATTTTTTAAAAATAAAAATGAGTTAAAATATGAAAAAAAAAATTTTAATTAAAAAATAAAGATATGTATATTATCTTTTTCCTTGTATTTTGTAAGTTTGAACACTTTTTAACATCATTAATTAATAAATATATTATATTTATAATTAAATACCATTAACAATATCATTTAATATTTTATTTATTTTTTTTATTTTCTACTTTTAGAAAACAGTTGTTATTTTTGTTTACCAAAAATATTTTTAAAAACAAAAAATAAAAAATAAAATTATTTTCTAAAAATAAAAATAAAAAATAAATTTTCAAACCAAAATAGAACCGTATCCTTTTCTATTGTTATTATTAAAATTAAAAATCCAGCACATTAACAACTAACATCAGTATTGACAAATCTTAACTTTTTTGTCATTACAATGTGGCAGTTGGAGAATCTTTAACATTTTCTTTTGTCATTATAATGAAAAAAATTTAATTATTAAAATTAAGAGTTCAACATATCAACAAATAACATAATTATTAACAAATTTTAATATTTTATTTTGTCATTAAGTATAACAAGTTAAAAATGGCCATCGACGTTTCTTAAGCTTTTATTTTGTTATTAAGTACGTAGAACAAGATTTAAAAAGTAAAATAAGTTATTTATTGTCATTTTTGTTTATTTTTGGGTTAATACTCTAGATAGCCCTAACATAAGATATAAACTTTTTCATATCCTTTTATTATGTTTAAAAATTATTTTATTTTGAAAATTATAAAATTATTTTATAAAAAATAATTACTTTAATTTTAATTTTTTGAAATATAACACAAACAACCACATCTTATCATATAATATAATCATCTGACATCAACGTTTATCTCAATTAAGAGTTGGAGTAAATTAACAAATAGAAACGAAATTTAGGAATCAACTTAAAAATTTTTTAATTTAGGTATTACGTTAAAAATTTAATAATTTAAAGACTATTTAGAGTATTACCCCTTCAATTTTTTTATCGTTTTAAGTTGCCTGATTACAGAATAAAGATACTTTGTTTTCTTCTATTGATCCAGCGCAGGGCTGTTCTTCTCCCAACCTGGGATAACATTATTCCAAACAGAAAATCTCTAGGGTTTTTTCTCTTCCGGGCTCTAAAATAATAATAATAAAAAAATCACAAAGCAAAATAAAAAAAGAGAGGGAGATACATTCATAAAATTCCCATTGAAAAAGCTTCACTCCTTTCAATCTCCATTATTTTACTCACTCAACTGAAATTAATAATCGTCTCATCGAGTCGATTCACCCTCAAAAATGCCCGTTGGCGTTCGCCAACTCACCGTTCTCGGCGAGTTCAAGCCGCTTGGATTAATCGCTGAGGCACTCGATGGGCAACCGCCAGATAATTTGCCCGATAACTGCGATTATTTCCTCTTCGATCCAGAAGTCACGAGACAACGAGACGAGAACTTGGATAACGACGTCTCGGCTTCTGCTCTCAGTGACCGCCGCGATCACGAGCTCTTCATTCGAGGCAACCGGTAAAATAATTTCACCTTGCATTTGTTTAACAAGATTGAATCAGTGAAGTTTTGGATTAAGGCAGTTAATTGTTACTCTACTGTTAAATTCTTGTATGTTTGAATTTAGCGATTAAATTACCTAATTTTGAGCTCCATTTAGTTATTTTTACTTGCTTTTAACAGTATAATTTGGAGCATTCGTTCAAGAGTGTTTAAGAGATTTATCTTACCTTCTGCTGTCATCATGGTGAGTCTGTTAAATAATATTAATGGATCATGAAATTAATGTTTAAGCCATATGAAAATAATATTATTGATAACGATTTGGCATTAATTTTAGGCTTGCCGGTGCCATATGGGCGGCGTTCCTGAAGCTCTTCTTTGTGTCTTACAAATTGATTCATTAACAATCTACAGTACATCAGGTAAGCATTGCAGATGAAAATCGATTCTCAAAAATCTTTTGATACTAGCACTTACTTGTTAATAATCTGACAAAGTGGCCTTGTTGTCAAAGATAGGGATGTTTCATGATTTAGGTTTTTTTCAAAGGAAAAAGAGTTACAATTATTTGCACTATAATTCTGCTAGTATTCAATCTGAACCACTTGTAATGTTAGGGTTTATGTTGTTCTTATATGGAACATGGGACCTAATAGTTGTGGAGGATTGGAATTTCATAATTGTATAATAGTAACTATAGTTGATATGAATACTTTTAGAATGGTGCGTTTTTGTCTAGTGGGTGCATTACTGGTACTTTAGTAAGCACTAGAGTGTGGTTCATTCACTCTTTCTATCTCTCGCTTTATGTCGAAGCATAAGTAAAGATTTATGGCATTATTTCCACTAGAAAGGAGCCTGTCTTATTGTTGAACTAGTGAATGGTTTTTTCATTTCTAAGGATACTTGTTTCGTCAAGTTCATTTTGGCTTATTTAACATAGACTCGTCGAGTGTTAGTTCAAACCTGATTTCTTATTGCTAAAATAGTAAAAAAAAATCCTGAACTATTCCACTTTTCTTAAGTAAGCCCCTATACTTTTATTATACCCAAATAAGCCTTTATCCTTTGATTCTATCCAAATAAGACCTTAATTCAAAGGAAAGAGTGATTTATGTTAGGGGCTTCTTTAGGTACTAATTAAAAGTTAAGGGCTTATTTGGATACAAATTAAAGGTTATGGCTTATTTGGTAACAAATTAAAGGTTGAGGGCTTATCTGGGTGCAAATTAAAAGTTAAGGGCTTATTTGGGTGTAATAAAAGTATAGGGGCTCATCCAAGTAAAGTGGTAAAGTTCCAGTCTTTTTTGTTATTTTAGCCATTTCTTATTGCAAAACAAAACTGATTTTCCAATGCATTTGTTTTGCATAACAAGTGAAGTAGTATCTAATTATAGGTTTGTAATTTGCTTGAAGATAATCGACTCGTTGTTTCGGATCTTCAGTTTTTTCCATTTTATACTTAAAGTTTTCAATTAAATATTTATAGGAGTCAAAATCAAGTTGTTTTTGTTTCTCTTTTGCTGAGGAAGATGAAGGTTTTCCATCGGCCATCATAATATTACCATAGTAAAGAGGTCCAAAGTTTGTAGATATGTCTGCAGGAACATGTCTTTGGTCCATCTTTTCTGCAAGCAAATCTATTTTGTCTTCTATATTATCCATTTTTACAAATAACTTAGTGAAAAAGGAAGAAGAAAGATCAAACAAACCATTTATAGCTCTACCAATAGATATATTATTAGATTCAGACTTAGGATCTACATGCAAACTATGATTATAAACTTTATCTCTACAAATACAATTATTTTCTTAAGTTGATTCCATGTTTATGGTGCTTAAGATCGGTGTGATTCTGTATAGGTTACCAAAAGCCAATCAACAAAAGGCATACAAAGCCCAACAAATACCAGCAAATAACCATATCAGAGCTCTATATGGTGCCTTCCGTTTGAACTGTTACTCCAGCTGTGGCTGAAGGAAATTCAGTTATGCATGGCCCGTTTTCATATTCAAGCCCCTCATTAGGCTCACGTGATATAATTTGCAATAGAAGAGAAAGTGGGCACAGCCCACAACATAATTTTAGTTTTCCGATGGCATATGATCACCTTATTAAGAGAGAATCAAGGTCAATGTCCTCACATCTGATTCTGAAAGATCTACTGGAAGAACCTCAGGTGTGTAAGTAAAATACATTTTATTTTGAGATTTCGCATAACTTCCCTTTGATTCAGATGCTTGTATATAGGTACATTCAATAACATTGGTTATTCATTTTGAGCATTTTTGATAGTTGATTTTATGTATAGAGTTGAAAATAGTATGTGACTTGAATTTTGCAGTCAATTTACATTGAAGATAGAGGAAAACTGAACATAATGAGTGATTTTGATGAAAGAACAATTTGGACTAGTGATCAAATCCCTCTAATGGCATCGTATAACAAAGGTTTTGCATTTAACTTTTGTGTGATTAATGCTTTTTCCCTGCTATTATTTTTCCTTTGTCTTTTAAGTCAGGGTGGGTATAGGTTCCATGTATATCATTTATTCTTGCCTTTGTGACTCTTTATGCAGTTAAAATGCAGCATTCAATCTGGGTTGCTGAAGTCATTAATTCTAGCCTTGAAGCGGAAAATGCTAGTTTATCTGCTACTGTTCCTGCTGGTGTATTGCTGAAGCGCTTCTGCTTCCGTAGAATATAGCAGGGGAATGGCACTCACACAGCTGCTTCAAAGGTGCTTGATCCATTTCTGTTTTTCAGCTTTTCTTTTTATGACTGTTACATCTAGCCGGTTATGTGTCATCAATAGCTATATCTTGATCCTTTTTTTTTTAATTGGTTAATTACAGTTGCGCTGTAAAATTATTGAACACCTTAAGGAGATGTTTTCATTGTTGGATATTGATAATGCTTTGCTATATTTAGAAAAGACACCCAGAAAGCTGAAGCTAATGTTTTTGATTCAGTTTAGAGTTTAGGTGCCTGCTTGTAAAATCAGATTGGGTTACATAGGCAGGTGCCTAGTCTGCCTGCTTCTTTCTGTCCTGAGATGAAAAGTTAGTCATACAGGTCTTCAGCCTTCGGTAGCTGAAAATTCTTACATTATAGTCCACTTTATGCATTGCTTCACAAATATCTTTTTGGAAAACTTTCATTTGTATTGATTATTTGGATTGCGTGGCTTTATCTAGTAATAAGATCCTTAGTAACAAATTGCTTGGAGATATGCTAAACACTGTGTATTTCACCCATTCAACTTTTGAAAACTTCCTCGTGATAATGTGAGGGATGGTAGCCTTGCTAGGTACATTTATCAGCTTCTGTTTGGTTTCCCATTCCATTTATGGTAATAGAATTTATGCATATAACTGTTTCTGTTATAGGAAGTATTTTCTTAAATGATTTTTTATAGCTATAAATGCATCCATGTATAAAGATGTGATTTAACAGAAGATAGCCATGTTGAGAGAGGGTGAGCAACACCAAATAAGACATAGGTCGAAACCATAAAGATGGACATTAATTTTACATAGCTTATGGAGGATATGGTCTTGAAGTAGAGTATAATGGTGCAATATGATCCTTATAGCTGATCCCACAACAGATAATATGAAAAGGCTTAGTTTGTTATTGTTTTTATATTCCTTTCTTAGGAATAACTTTTATTACATGTATTTTACGCATTTTTTTGGTTCTTCCCATCCCACTGACTTCTTATCCACATTCTCTGAAATCTTTGTTTGTTTTTATGTTGCTGTTTCCTTTATGAGCATTTGATGATTTAACTCTCTCTGTGTTAATAATGAGATTCAATTTGATGTTAAACCTGATATGAGCTGGAGCATACCTGCAATTGCTGCGCTCCTGTCATTGTGACACGACCCAGGTATTGCTACATTTGCTTTTATTTTAAATGGCTGATTTTCTAAGATTCTTTGGTATGATTTCCTGTATTTCTTCCAGTGTGAAGGTGGGATTGTTGCCATATACAGACATCATTGTTTTGGCTCCAGAAAACATATTAGTCATTTATGTAAGTTCTTCTCTTTTCATGCTTTTAACCTTAACTTATAGTCTGGTTTTTAATATTTGTATAGCCAGTTCTTTGTTAATTCTTGTGATATGTTTCTTACCAGAAGTAATTTTATGTCTCTTGCCCCTCTCTATTGCTGATATTTTATGATGGTGCTATGGTCTTTGCATAGCTTCTGCCATCTTGCTAACATGCAGTTAGTTATTTCTTTGCTTGTAACCTGTGCTTCAGATTTTCATGGAAGCTGATTCTTTTCTGATGTAGTTCTCCACTTTTTACTGGATGTCTTGTCTGTTTCGAAATTCATTTTCCTCCTTGTCTACTATAGTGATCTACATAGATCATGTTGCAAAAATATTTTCCTAAAAGTTTCTACTGGTGTTTGGGTCCCATGTTGGATTATGCAGTGGCTCTTGGTTTTCAAGCCTTTTGATCTTGAGTTCTTGAAACATGCTGATACAAGATAGGGATGGGGGGGGGGGGGGGAGCAAGAGATATAGCGTTAATGTGCATGTTAGGGCATGGCTTGATATGATTACTAAAAACAAGAAGTGGATGGAGTTTAAATGTTTAATTTACTAAGTATTGGGTCATTGAATGTGTTTGTGAAGGTGAGCTTTGGTCTTCAAACTCAAATTTGGTCTTCTAGGTTTGGAGAAGTTTGGGTGACTTAATGCCCCTAGAATTGGGAAATCAAAGCCCCAAAGTCAATAACGAATAAGAAAAATATTTGTGAACTTTTGATCAATTAGAGATAGTGATACTCCAAGATAAGTCAGTTTCTTAATGCTAGTAATATAATATGATATGTCCATGTAGCCAATCTTACTTTAAGGCCCCTTTTTTACTAAGTCTTGTACAAATTTTTAACACTAGGCGAGTAACACGTAGACAAACATAAGTCACTTATGCCCAAGTCCAGTGAAAGTAAATCGCTTAGTAATTTTCTTCTGCCTTCATCTTTAATTGATTGTATTATCTCTTATTCCTGATGGGAACATCAATAAAAGGTTGATTGACTATTGTTTTGCCAATTGTTCATAATTTACATGTACTGTAATGCAGTCAGGGAAGCAATGCCTTTGCAGGTATCTGATGCCTCGATGTTTGGGCAAAGGTCATATCTCCCATAATTTGGGATTCTCAGAAGCAGCATCCATTTCCCATGACCTGAAAATTGTAGGACTGGCTGATGCACTTGAGTCACGTATCAATGTGAAAGTAAACAACCAGCAGGTGTTATAACTTCTATGCTTTTAGTTTATCATTTCAAATGCTCTACTCTTGTTATTCAATTTGTCGTTAATTCACTTGACAAGTCTGTGGTTTATTTATTTTTTCTATTACATGACTTTTTTGGCCTTTGTAAATTATGCTCTTACTTTCTGTTTCCGCTAATATTTGCAAGCATTTATAGTTTTATACTAGGGAAAATATTGGTAGCCCTTGAATTAGTTTTACCACATTGCAATCTATAAAAGTTTCTTGCTTTTATATCTTAGTTATGAGCTTTAACAACTTTTATTTGCCATGTATATGCAGATGTTTCGATGTGCATTACGAAGAAGCCCTTCATCATCGTTGGCAAATGATTGCATCACAGCAATGGCTGAGGGGCTGGGTCCAAGTTTCTATAACCATTTTCTAACTCTTATTTGGGGAGATGGTGATTCTGGCTACTTGTCAGAGGCTAGTTCTACTGTCGATTCAGAATGGAACTACTTTTGTGATACTATCATGCAAATGTGCAAGAAGTCATCTGTAATTTCTCAAGAGATTCCA